ACTATTTGACATCCTCCTCCCCCCACAGGAGGCCAGATAACAGGAAATCATAAAGATCTGTTAATTCAAACACATTCATGATACGCAAATCAGAGGACTTTACTATTACAGAGAACTCTTTGCTGTTAAAACAAAATGTGATGACAGCATGGATAGCAACACTTTCCTTAAAGAGATCTATTTAAAGCAGTATCTGAAGTCACTCAATCGCACACTCACCTGGATACTTAGTAGAAACTAACAGTAGTCAATAAATATTTTAAGTGAATTTATTCTAAAATCTGTAAAAACCGAGGGTTTCCAAAGGAGTTATCACTTTGAAAAACTAAGATGTCATACAATAAATATAAATCCAATGCTTATATGCAGGCACCAAGCAAAGATGAAAAGAGGTCCCTCGTGCTCTTGGCAAAGGGACGAAGGACAGCAACACAGCAACACTGAGCGCCTGATCCATACTACAATACATGCCGTGGAAGCCTATGGATAGAGTCAGGTCCATGAGGTGGAGGCCTCTCCCTCCACCATTTTTTCCTGTGGAAAAGGAACTTAGTGACTTTCAAGTATCTCTTATAAGCAAGTTTTTAGGTGACTGTATATACCAGCATTAGCAAAAAGGGAATGGAAGATTTATACTTGTGTTGCTACACATTCAGGTACACATTAAATTACAAGCCAAAACATTGTTGGTGTGAATATTCCCAATCACAACAGTAAAAGGTTAACCAAAAGCCTATAAATTGATAAAGATGAAGCTCATAGCACTTTCAAGGGGGTGGGGGGAAGGAAGCACAATGGAAAACCAAGATTCATTTGAGACAATACTGAGGATGATCCCAAATAAGCATCCTTCCTGAATATGGCAGGAACCCCCATTCTGCACAGGACACGTAAGCAGCCCTGCTCTGGTGCCAAGTTTCCCGGGATAGACTCTGGGAGACAACAGTAAGCTCTAATGTTCTACTAGTTTTAATTTATGAATACCATGTTTTAGTAATTCTTAATAATTCACTTGGTAGGTTATTAATAAGTAGCCCTTAGGCATATGTAAGTATGAATAACTATGAAGCAAGAAGAACTGAAGAAAGGAGCTGTACTTCTCACAAAGAAGGGTGGAGTGGAAGCCATACTTGGAGAGTGACTGCATGAAGGAGCCCAGGAGAGGAAACTTAACTCTTCAGGAGGTGGAAGGGGTAAGAAAAAACTAACATTGAAACATTAAACTGAGGTAATACTAAACATGCCAAGTAAGGTGTTTCAAACCTTCTATTTGATGTAAGACCCATGAAATTATGCCTGGAAACTATCATTTCAAGCAACAAGACAGTTACATGCAAGGTTCATTCATTAACAAACTTAAGGAGTGCATCGTTCTTTGTTTTTTCAAATGCATTCTCCATTTTCAAAAGCTCAGGAAGGTAGAAAGGAGAATATTCTCTAACAGCCAACCACCATTTATAAAATGTTTGCTTCCTTTAGCCTTATATATAGCATACAGTTATATACAGTTATCTACAGTTAAATATGCTTTTACATATTTAACCAGCAAAAAAAAAAAAATGGACAAAGAAAAATTTCACAATATGTAACTTTTTTCCTAATCTTATTTCAAAAGCTTTTTTTTTTTTTTTTTAAGATTCTATTTATTTACTTGACAGAGAGAGAGAGTCACAAGGAGGCAGAGAGGTAGGCAGAGAGAGAGAGGGGGAAGCAGGCTCCCCACTGAGCAGAGAGCCCAATGCAGGGCTTGATCCCAGGACCCTGAGATCATGACCTGAGCCGAAGGCAGAGGCTTAACCCACTGAGTCACCCAGGCGCCCCTCAAAAGCTTTTGACAAGGTGACTTATTGAATAGATAAACCAAAGGGAAAATATTCATTCTTTCACACTCCTAAAATTGTACAAGTCTTCTTCTAATAATTGGGGCCCAAGTTTTAGCACTACTTCCTGACTTCTCTTGTTTTTCAGTTTTCTAAATTGTACACAAGGAAAAAGCTATCCAACCTCAATGGTAAATGCAAAAATGCCAAATATTTGAAGAGAAGCTCAACTGATAGTTTACTACCCTCAAATAACTCTTTGAAATAGATTGCTGGTTCCATTGTGGTTCCCATCTGTGGTGCCTAATGATTTGCCATTTACATTTTCAGCCCTGTGACTCTCACATCTATTTTACAAGGCTCTGACCACAACAAAGCAGAAAACTTCCTATTTAAAGTAGTAATAGTCATTACCATCCATAAGAATTCCTAATAATTCCTCAAAGTATAGATATTAGAGTATCAAGGTGAGTTGTATTTTAAAGGATGCGAAGTGACTTCTCACTTCATTAAAAAAAATTACTTCCCATTATTTTTCTAATTCTTTTTTTAAAAAAAGATTTTATTTACGTATTTGGCAGAGAGAGACACAGCGAGAGAGAGAGAGAGAGAGAGAGAGAGAATGAATGAATACAAGTAGGGGAGTGGGAGAGGGAAAAGCAGGCTTCCTGCTGAGCAGGGAGCCCGATGTGGGTCTCCATCCCAGGACCCTGGAATCATGACCTGAGCTGAAGGCAGATGCTTAACAACTGAGTCACCCAGGCGCCCCTATTTTTCTAATTCTTTTTTTTTTTTTAAGATTTTATTTATTTATTTGACAGAGAGAGAGATCACAAGTAGGCAGAGAGACAGGCAGGGGTGAGGGGGTGGGGAGCAGGCTCCCCGCTGAGCAGGGAGCCCGATGTGGCTCCATCCCAGGACCCTGAGATCATGACCCGAGCTGAAGACAGAGGGTCTAACCCACTGAGCCACCCAGGCGCCCCTATTTTTCTAATTCTTGATAGGCTGACTTAAGCTCATGAGTAGAAACAGACTATTGGAAATGCACTTCAGGAACACACAACAATTTGTTATTCTCTTGCCAAAACATACTTCAGAGCTGTTGTTTTTCCCGATTCACTACTGAATAACAAAGTTTTACACACAATGCTGAGCTCTTATTTCCCCTTGATTTTTGGCCAACTTACTAAGGGAAAAGTCATCTTGTTGACAAATCAGAAAGAAGTCCATAGAGAGTATGCTGGATCACTTCCTAATCAATAACTTAAAAATAATCATGGAGTACAGAAATAATGAAGGGTTCTAAAAAACAGTAAAAGCAGGACACAGGCATTACGCATATATCTTGAGAAATCAGAAAGCTCATAAAATCACCAGAGTGCACTTTTTTTTTTTTAAGACCCATGGAATATAAAATTAGAAAAACAGGAAATGCAAGCCAGTTTTTTGTTAAAAAAAGAAAAGCAAAGAAACCAAACTTCAAAAATCACCAATTACCCAACATTTGGAAAACCAGCTCTAACAAATGCCACTAACCAAACATTAGGAAAATGTCATACTTGGACACAATTATCTTATAACCTCATAGGGGGAGCTACAAAGAAAGATGTCATTCCAGGAAACGCAAATTCTATATATGGTGAGAAATAGCGAACCGCCATGTAAGAGAATTTTAAAAGCAATTATCTAACGTGCTCATAACCCATATTTTGAAGCCAGCACAGAGCACAGAAAGGCATAATATTCAAAAAAGGTCTCATCTACAAAATCACAACTGAGAGAGGAAGCATGATATTCACTACATGTAACAGCCAAAGGTCATAATACTCACTACATGTAGACACCCAAAGGCTACACACACACACACACACACACACATTCTCTCACATACACGGAAAAAGGGGAAGTAGTTTATAATATTGAGATCAAATTTCAGCCGTCAGAGAAAAACTTTCTGGAGGAAAAGATTATATTATAGTGCTACCTCTTGCCACACTATCGGAAGTTCAAAGTAAATTAAAACTCTGGGAGCAAAAACCGGAAATCCCTCCACTCCCATCCAAGCAGGGGCTGAAACCACGGATTTAGACCATAATATGACCTAGAAAGCCTGGAACCTTGAGGTTTTCAGTACAATATGGCTCCCAGCACCCTAGGTGATCAACAATTGTATTAATGCTAATCCCTTACATCTACATACTGCTTTACATTTTAGACAGTGCTTTCACTTTTATTCCTCAATCCTTCTGGTGGTAGAATCACAGTACTTTACTTTCGCACAGCTTGTAGTTTGGAAAGTATCTTCACACACTGCGCTATTATTTTACAGAAGAGACCCAAGAGATTAAGTTACTCGTCTATGAACGTGTACGTGGTAGGTGAGGGGCCTGGACAACTGCGGGACTCTATTCAGTCACAGACACTTCCAACCTTTTAAAGTTCAAAGTACAACACTCCAGACGGAGCAGCCTCATTCAGACAGCTCTATAGGATAGAACTGGACAGTCTCAGTGTACCATCTCTGCCCCGCTCTCCCTCTCCAGAGACAGGGAAACCGAGGCACCAGGTAGGAACAAAAGCCTCCTCTAGAGTCACGCAAGGACTGATGCTGGGATAGACTCCCCCACCCACCCACTCACCCACCTGCACTACACCCAGAAACAGCTAAATCCTGTGTTTAAGACACAGGTCGGGCTCCAGAGAGGAAAACCCTTGCCGTTACCGCTTCCCTCTCACTACTCCCCACCCGGGCTTTCCTACAGATGGTGGTCTCTGCTTTCCAGAACCGCTCAGCAACAACCTCTCCCTAGGGCCCTTACCCATTTTTCACATCGGGCCTCCGGAGTAAAAGAATCCGCTAGCTCTGGCTCCCAACTCCTAGTCCCTTTCTCTAAGGGATCTCTCGACCCCAAGGCATTTCTGTCTCCCAGGGGAAGGTCCGACTCCAACCCGAGCCACCTAAACCTTAAACTCCACAAAAGAAAACCTTCCCAACGCCTCCTCCAGTTACCCCTTCCGTCCAGGACACTCCCGAGGAGGACCCCTAAATATCAGGAGCCTCCCAAGAGCTACCTGCCTCTCACCTGGGCCCCTTTAGCCGCGGCCTCCTCGGAAGGGCGACCCCCAAAAACCTCCGCCGATCACGCACCCCCTAAAGGGGGAACACCCTCTTCCAAGTACCTCTTCAAGCGCCTTCAGCAACGGGCCTCAGCGGAGAACCTCCGGGTTGCTTCCTGGGCTCTGCCCAACGCCGCTCCCTCCCGGGCCCCTTCCTAGAGTCTCCTCCGGCACCAGTCGGGTCTCTCCGCCGCAGACCCGGGCGTCTGATCCCCTCCCTCACGGACGTCCCCAGGTCTCCGACTCCCCCCGGCTCCGCGTCCTCAGTGGTTTCCCAAGAGCAGCGCGGCCGGGCTACGGCACTGACTTCTGCAGCTCCAGGGCCCACCCGAGGGAGGGGGCGGCGGCGGCGCCCGACTCCTTTGTGACAGGTCCAAGAGAGCGGTAAAGATGGACGCGAGGCCACGGCGCTGCCATTACGCGCTGGGGCCCACCCCCGCTTCGCACCGCCCCTGCCCTCCCTCAGTCCCCTAGGAAACGCCCCTTCCTCGGTGGCAAGCCCTCTCGCTTACAGCCAGTCATCTTTCGGGGAAGTTACCACGTGATCATACGGGGCGACCCGCCCCTCAAGCGCGAGCTGGCCAATCCCCTTGCTGAGGTGCGAATGGCCCAATCAAGTCTCTAGGGCTAGCTTTCGGGACACCGGATTTCCATCTGTCTCCTGGGGAGGAAGAGGGGTGCGGATTGGGTTACGCCGCCGGAAGCGGGGCGGAACTTTGTTGTGGCGGTGAGGAAGAGGAAGCCCTGAAGGGTCAAAAGGAATACAAAAGCAAAGGCTATTTTCTTTCTTTTCTTTCTCTCTCTCTCTCTCTCTCTTTTCTTTTGTACTAAAGAGCGAGCGGTCTTAGCGGTGGCTTAGGGGTGGGCGTCGCCGAGGTGAGGGGGTCTCGCCTCCCGCACGCTGGTAGGTGAGTGCGGCCTGGGCCCTACCTAGCTTGGCTTAGACACCTGGGCTCCAGCTTCTTCGCTGAGGAGATGGGGGGCTACGTTTAATGTGAGGTTTAGGGTGAAGCCGGTTCTCAGTCTGCGCACTCGCCTAGTGCTCTGAGTCACTGGGGCCAGGGGCTTGCTGGGGTCCGCCTAAGTGGAGCCGAGGGAGCCCGCGGGAGGGCCTCCCCAGTCGTGTGGGGAAGCATCCCGACCCTTTCTAGCGGTCTGGGGACTTCGGGCCTCTTGTCGGCTCTCCTCCACCGTTTCTGCTAGGTGGGAACACCCAGGCTCCCAAGGGAGGAGCGGGCTCTCTCGCAGGGGTCTTGGGAGGGCTCCAGGCGACTCAGGCAATGTGGGAGTGACTGGCTGGAAATCTTTGAATCACAGAACGCAAGTGTAGGATGGGAAACACACTTACTATGTACGGTGTACCATTTGCTGTGCTCAGTGCATTTTCTTCTAATAGATAACAAGCCAGCATACTCGTTTTGCAAAAGGAAACTTAGGAAACTAAGACCGAGGGTTGAAGGATCTTGTTTGAGAGTTGTTTGCCCACGTGAACGTCTGTGCACACAGGTGTAAATGTGGAGACCTACTCGTTCAGAGCAGTGGTTCTTAATCTAGTAGAAAACAAGATTTTCTGCGGCCCGTTTAAATGCAGATTCTCCGACCCTACCCCCAGATAGTCTGACTGAGTAGGTCTGGAGTTGGGACAGGGGAAGCCAAGTGCGGGCCTGGTGGTCAGAATTCCCAATGACCTCTTGTGTACCAGCTGTGAGGTAAGGTTTGTTCGTTCTTCAGCTGTTTGGCTTGTTGATGTGCTAACAGGGACCCCATAAAATGGTTTGGAGGGAACTGCTTCTGAAATCCTTGAATCAGTGTTTTATACTCCTTTTTGATACAAGGAATTGAACTGAAATAAAGACAGCTTTTACAGTCTTTCAAATAGAGCACAAGACAGTTGTGTTGACAGTTTTTAGGGGTCTGCAAGCAAAGGCCGGCCAATTATTTTTCTCAGCTGAAGTGTTGTTGCTTTAATCCCTTACAACCAGGAGGAGCTGTGTCAAGACAGTTCACCTGGCTAGCAGTCTTCCCTTTCTCCTTCTAAGAATCTTGATGTTTGGTTAGAGTGAAGCTGTTGCCTCAGATATTGAAAACCACATAGCTGGTAAGCGAAGTAATTGTAGTGTGTGGTTCCGCCATAGGCTCCATCATATTGTAATTATGCCTCTGGGGCAGCGGAATTAAACAACTTAGTCTGCTCACTATTGATCACCTTCTGAAAATGCTTTGTCTTCAATTCTTAAGTATGGTCAGTTTCACTCGTTATTGTAGAATGTGTTTCAAAGATTGTTTTTGGTTTTTGGTTTTCTGCATTTTCATGATGCAACTGTGGATGTGTTTTTGTTGGATTTGGTGTTTATCAGACCTTGAATGAGTGGATTAGTGTCTTCCATTAGTTCTGTAAAATTCCCGGCGAGTTTATATTCATATATTGCTTATGCCCCATTATATATCGCCTTTGCTGATTTAACACAGAGCCTTTCACTCTAATGTCTGTGTTTCTTTTTTTTTTTTAAGATTTTATTTATTTGACAGATCACAAGTAGGCAGAGAGGCAGGCAGAGAGAGAGGAAGGGAAGCCTGCTTCCCTTCC